CTGCTGCCCCTGTGCCGAGACCCCGCTCACCTGGCCAGGTAGGGCCCCTTCCCCGGCGCGGGGGCCGGGCACGGCGCAGCGCGCAGGACGCGAGGCCGGGGCCTCCGCGCGATCATACCTGGGTCTGGTCTCGGGACCCCGGGCCGGGCGGTACTGTGAGCGCGTGCGTGGGGCTGGGTCGGGGACAGGGTGGACTGCTTCTCCGGGGTCCTGGGTGAGGGGTTTCCCAGGGCCATGCTGGCAAGGAGGAGGCAGATGGAAGGGTGCGACGCACACCCTCGTTCTCGCGGCCTAGATGGTGGCTGGGCATGACCTGTACCTTTACCGGAGCCTCACCCCAAGCCGCCATGAACCGGGGTGTCCAGGGCTGGATCCTTATGTGGAGGGCAGGGAAGACTGGAGTCTCCTAACTCCTGATCCCACAGCCCGGGACTGGATAGGCAGATAAAGACACCTGGCCTGGGTAGCGGCTAACTTCCTAGGGTACAGTAACACCCTTGGGCCTCGTAGTACCTAACCCGCAAGCTGGAACTCATCGACTTCCGGTCTTTGCGCCCCATCCCACCAATTCCCACCTCTCAGCTTCATGTCCCCTACCACCCACCCCTATTTGGTTGGCCACGGTCACCGGTCACCGTCTTCGTGTAGTAGCCCAAGGTGCGCCCCCATGGGGTCCCCCTTCCAGATGCGGGAACACTACCTCCTGTCAGGTAGGAGGGGAGTTACCGTCATTTGTGTGTGTGTGTGCGCTGTTCATGGTGAAGGGCCTGGAGAGTGGCTTCAGGTCGGAGGTCATCGACAGAAGCTTCCTGCTGAGTCATCGGTTTGGGTGGGATAGGCTCCCTCCTTAAGCAGCGGCCCTCTTGAAGAGCAGATGTCTGTGTGAGCAGGCTGTTGGGGTCATTTGCTGATGGGACTGGTCACTGCCCAGCCCATAGTCAAGCGGGGGACTGTGTGTCAGTGAGAGAACCTGAGGGCATTTGAGGTCGTGGGTGACGGCTGTGTGAGGCCAGGGCCCACCGAGGCCACTCAGGACAAGGGCTTCTTCCCAACCAGTAGTATCTTTGATGGTTCCTCACCAGAAGTCCACAGGCTGGACAGTATCAGTTCTCGGTCTTATATCAGGAAGTGCCCTTCCCCCCCCAGTGAGCACACACTGGTGAGTGTGAGGACACACCAGGGAGTGTGAGCATGCTACCCAGGAAGGCTGAGTGCGGTATATGGGGCCTGCCCAAGCAGACATGCCAGCAGGTGGTCCCCAGAACCGTGTGCCCCACCTCACACTGCAGACCGGAAGGAAAACCAACGGCCTACAGTCAGGGCAGTGCCCCAGAGGGAATTTAGAGCACTCTTCTCAGGGCGGGTAGACAAAGGAGTGTCCCCACCTCCAAGCTCTGTCACATTCGGACTTGTTCATGGGTTGCAGCATGCCCCTAGGGATGGCAGTCACTACAGCTCCCTGGTGCGCGCACACACACACACACACACACACACACACACACACACAGCAGAGTCCTGACCCCCAATATCACCAGACAAGCGTCCCCTAATGACAGCAGCTAGTGCCCCGTGCTGTCCCCATCACCGACCCCCTCCTCTTCCTGGGCAGAATCACTTTTCCCAGTCCGGGAACCCGTGTGCTCGGCAGAGCAAGAGTCCCAGGCCATTCCAAACCCGAAGGGCAGTGGGGAATGGGGTGAGCCTGCCCTAAGGCAGCTTCCAGAGGTGCAGGTTTCTAGGTGTCTGGTTGTTATTGCTAATGCCTTCCTCAAGCCTGAGTTCCTGCTCCCCCTCCCCGCGCCAGCCACTGGAGAACAAGAGCATTGGTTTCTGGGCCCCCCTGTGGTAATGGGGCGCCGACAGAGCTCAGCCTTCATTCTTAGTGCACTGAGAGGAGAGGGTGGTGATCCGGGGTGGTCTTGGGAATGTCTCCATTGCCATCAGGGTGGGTGGGTCTGGGAGGGTGTAGAGACCCCTACAAGGGAGGGGCCGGCCCCACGGAACTGTGGCCCAGAGAGGCTTTAAGCCGAGATGGGTCGGTAGCAAAGGGCGAAGTTTTCATTTAGAGAGGTTGAAAATTGAGGAGTGGGGGCAGGGAGGTGAGGGAAGGGGCTGTGGGAACGTACAGGTGTGGACGGAGGGAAGAGGTGTGGGTGGGGTTGGAGGCCATCAGCCCCGGATGAGTCAGTCTCCGCTCTGCCGTGCTCACCTTGGGCCAGGTACAGTGTCTTGCCACCCCTCCCAGCTGCATACAGAAAGGTAACAGGGCCAGAGCACTGCCCAGGATCTTCAGGCAGTGGGACAGTGCCAGGGAGCCAACGAGACTACTCTCTTAAGGAAAAAAATAAAAGGGGGTGTGTGTGCATAATCTCATTACTGGACTGCATTTGTGTCTTAACCAACAAGTTATTGTAGGAAAAGGGATCCATAAAGGAAATGGGCCATGAATCTACTGACCCTGAAGGAAGGGTAGGCGGGGCCTCTTCCCTGTCTGGAATGGGGCAAACACTGGCAGTCCCTGAGATCCTGATGAGAACAAGGTCTCGTCCCCAGGGAAGGGGATTTAGGACTGAGTACCAGTGGCCCATGACTGCCCCAAGGGGCTGTTTCTGAGCGTATCTTGGTTGGGCCCTGGAAGATCTCCCAGGGATAAGCTGAACCCCAAGATCTAGCAGCTCCGTCGGCTGTGTGTGTCCATTTGTGAGGGTAAGGTAAGTGGGTCCTAGTAGCCCTAGTTAATGCATCTTCCCGCCCCCTCCAGGCCCCTGGCCCCAACATGGCCCGTCGCTCCCAGAGCAGCTCGCAGGGGGACAACCCATTGGCACCTGGGTACCTGCCACCCCACTACAAAGAATACTACCGCCTGGCGGTGGATGCGCTGACTGAGGGCGGGCCAGAAGCCTACAACCGCTTCTTAGCATCTGAGGGGGCGCCTGACTTCCTGTGCCCTGAGGAGCTGGAACATGTGACCCGCCACCTGCAGCCCCCGCAGTATGTGGCCCGGGAGCCCCCCGAAGGCAGCCCTCCTGATGTGGACATGGATGGTTCCTCAGGAACCTACTGGCCAGTGAACTCAGACCAGGCTGTGCCTGAGCTGGACCTGGGCTGGCCCCTGACCTTTGGCTTCCAAGGCACGGAGGTCACCACACTGGTACAGCCACCGCCACCCGACAGCCCCAGCATCAAAGATGAAGCTCGGAGGATGATCCGCTCTGCCCAGCAGGTGCATTGTTATGGGCTCGATGGATGGTGAAGGGTAGCCTGAGCTGGGTCTTGAAGCATGAATAGGAGGGTGTGGGAAGAATAAAAGCATCACAGTACTGGGGATGCCCGGGCTGGTCAGCCAGACCTCAGCAGGAGAGTCACCCTGTAGGGTTTGTCCATCGTCACCTGGGAATTGGTTAGTGGCCTCTATACATTTGCTTGCCCAGGATCATGGCCAGTACCCAGAAATGTAGGGCCGTTGGCCTATTGGTCTCTCCAGACCTTGCCCAGCTGAGAGCGACCCACTCCCAAAGCAGCTGGCAAAGAGCAAAAAGAAAAGAAAAGGAAAAAAAAATGGCTGTTAAGCCAGGAAGACTGGCTGGTGCCAGTAATCTAACATTCAGGGAGGTTGAGGCTAACCTGGACTACATAGTAACAGTCCAGCCTGTATTAAAAAAACAAAAACACTCCCACAAAAATCTAGGAAGATTAGGTAAGGTAGCAGACCTAGCTTCTGTCCCTGCTCCAGGTTGTGACAACCCGGCATCCCCCATCGAGCCTGAGGTTCCGATCTGAACACACAGGGCCAGAGTTGCAGCTACTCCCCCTCTGAATGAAGCACCCTAAAAGTATAGGCTCTGCCCCTGCTCCAGGCTCCTTGGTGAACTCCCTCTCCCGTGTCCCATTTACCACCCTCCCGTTCATGGCCGCTCTCTCCTGGGGTTAGGCTACTACTGGTCATTTCACAGTGCGTGTGGGTGACCCTTCCGTCCCGCTGACCTGATACGCACCTACCTCACACAGGTGGTAGCCGTGGTGATGGACATGTTCACCGATGTGGATCTGCTCAGCGAAGTGTTAGAGGCTGCGGCCAGGCGAGTCCCGGTCTACATTCTGCTGGATGAAATGAACGCTCAGCACTTCTTGGACATGGCAGACAAGTGTCGTGTCAACCTGCACCACGTGGATGTGAGTGACCAGGCCGGGGGAGTGGAGGGAGAAAGATACCTTTGGTGAAGACCTGACTCCCCTCTCTTCCAGTTCCTGCGCGTGCGCACAGTGGCAGGACCTACCTATTACTGCCGCACTGGGAAGTCCTTCAAGGGCCATCTGAAGGAGAAGTTCTTGCTGGTGGACTGTGCTGTAGTGATGAGCGGAAGTTATAGGTATGCCCAGTGGGTTTCCCTCAGCCCTGGCCCTCCCCCGCAGAGCCCTTCCCCGTGGTCCCACTTCCTCCCCCCCCCCCAAAGCCCTTCTTGCCACAGCCCAACAACCCAGTTCCTTACAGACCCCGATTCCCTGATTATCGGACGGATGCCTTCGGCCTTTGTGGCCCCTACTTCCTCTCCCTGACTCCTTCCCTCCTGCCCACAGCTTCATGTGGTCCTTCGAGAAAATCCACCGCAGCCTGGCTCATGTGTTCCAGGGAGAGCTGGTCTCCAGCTTCGACGAGGAGTTCCGCATCCTCTTCGCACAGTCAGAGCCCCTGGTGCCCTCGGCTGGGGTGCTAGCCCGCATGGATGCCTATGCTCTTGCGCCGTACTCCGGGGCCGGGCCCCTGGTGGGCGTCCCCGGGGTTGGAGCACCAACACCTTTTTCCTTCCCTAAGCGGGCGCACCTCCTATTCCCACCGCCCCGGGAAGAAGGCCTGGGCTTCCCCTCTTTCCTAGACCCGGACCGCCACTTCCTGTCAGCCTTCCGCCGCGAGGAGCTGCAGCGCATGCCTGGGGGTGCATTGGAGCCCCACTCAGGGCTCCGGCCACTGGCGCGTCCGGCTGAGGCTGGACCCATTGGAGAGCTCGCAGGCCCCCGGGGCTTCTTCCAGGCGCGGCACTTGGAGATGGACGCCTTCAAGCGGCACAGCTACACCGCGGCCGACGGAGGTGGAGCCGTGGAGAACTTTGCCGCTGCGCGGCAGGTGTCACGACAGACATTCCTCAGCCACGGTGATGACTTCCGTTTCCAGACCAGCCACTTCCAGCGTGACCAGCTCTACCAGCAGCAGCATTACCAGTGGGACCCACAGTTTGCACCCGCGCGCCCGCAGGGCCTCTTCGAGAAGCTTCGTGGAGGCCGACCTGGCTTTGCGGACCCTGATGACTTTGCACTAGGTGCGGGGCCCCGCTTCCCAGAACTCGGTGCTGATGTACACCAGCGGCTGGAATATGTGCCATCCAGCGCATCTCGGGAAGTACGCCACGGCTCGGATCCCGCCTTTGGGACCAGCCCACGTGGTATGGAGCCCAATGGGGCCTCGCGCCCCAACCTGGGCCAGCGTTTTCCGTGCCAAGCATCCATGAGGCAAGGCCTGGACACCACTCCAGAGATGGAGCCTGAGCGCAGGGGTGGACCCGAGGGCCGGGCCGGGCTCCGTCACTGGCGCCTTGCTTCCTACCTGAGCGGCTGCCACGGTGATGGTGGGGAGGAGGGTCTGCCGATGGAAGCTGAGGCCTATGAAGATGAAGTGCTGGCTCCTGGAGGCCGGGACCTGCTCCCCTCCGCCTTCCGCGCTCCTGTACCCTTCCCAGCCAAGGGACCAAAGCCAGGCTCGGGAAGCGGTGGTGGCGACAGCTCAGAGAGAGAGGGCGCAGAAGAGACAGGCCTGGCCAAGCAGGACTCCTTCCGCTCCCGCTTGAACCCGCTCATCCAGCGCAGCTCCAGGCTGCGCTCATCACTCATCTTTGCCTCACAGGCCGAGGGTGCTGGTGGGACCACAGCAGCCACCACAGAAAAAGTACAGATGCTACACAAAGAGCAGACTGTCAGTGAAACCGTGGGGCCCGGTGGAGAGGCCGTTCGTTCCAGCGCCTCGGCAAAAGTGGCGGAGCTACTGGAGAAATACAAGGGCCCTGCCCGGGACCCTGGGGGCGCAGGGGGTCCCATCACTGCCTCCAGCCACAGCAAGGCGGTAGTGGCCCAGTCCTGGCGGGAGGAGGTGGTAGGGCCCGGAGGAGCGGGAACTGAGCGCCGCAGCCTTGAGAGCTGCTTGCTTGACCTGCGGGACTCCTTCGCACAGCAGTTGCATCAGGAGGCAGAGCGACACCCAGGAGCGGCATCGCTGACCGCTGCGCAGCTGCTGGACACACTGGGCAGCACAGACCGCCTGCCTTCGCGCTTCCTCTCTGCCCAGGGTCGCTCCTTGTCGCCACAAGGGCGAGATAGCCCTCCACTAGAAGGGCAGGGAACGCACCAGTTGCCTTATTCTGAGCCAAAAGGGAGCCCCACCGCAGCTTACCCTGAGCGCAAGGGGAGCCCCACGTCTGGATTTCCCAATCGGAGGGGCAGCCCAACCACTGGGTTGATTGAGCAGAAAGGGAGTCCCACTTCAGCCTACCCAGACCGCAGGGGCAGTCCAGTGCCCCTACCTGAGCGCAGGGGCAGCCCGGTGCCCCCAGTGCCCGAGCGCAGGGGCAGTCCAGTGCCCCCTGTCCCTGAGCGTAGAGGCAGTCTCACCTTCGCCGGGGAGTCTTCGAAGACTGGGCCTACGGATGAGGTGGCCGGCGGCCCCATGGAAGTCCTGCGAAAGGGCTCCCTCCGCCTCAGGCAGTTGCTGAGCCCCAAGAATGAGCGGCGTGGGGAGGATGAGGGCGGCTTGCCAGCTCCACAGGAAAATGGGCAGCCCGAGAGCCCCCGGCGGCCCTCGCTGGGCCGGGGTGACAGCGCAGAGGCTGCTGCAGACGAGAGAAGCCCCAAGGTTCGCCTGACTTCGGCCACCGCCAATGCCTTATACAGCAGCAACCTGCGAGATGACACGAAGGCCATTCTGGAGCAAATCAGTGCCCATGGCCAGAAGCACCGCGGGGTCCCTGCCCCAGGCCCGGCTCACAGCAGTCCTGAGCTAGGTCGCCCGACAACTGCAGGGGACTTGGCCCCAGACATGTCCGACAAGGACAAGTGTTCGGCCATCTTCCGCTCAGACAGCCTAGGGACACAAGGCCGACTCAGCCGCACGCTGCCGGCCAGCGCAGAGGAGCGTGACCGGCTCCTTCGCCGCATGGAGAGCATGCGCAAAGAGAAGCGTGTCTACAGTCGCTTCGAGGTCTTCTGCAAAAAGGAGGAAGCCGGCAGCACCGGCACAGGAGACAACCAGGCAGAGGAGGACACCAGGGACAGTAAAATGGGCAAGTTTGTTCCCAAGATTCTGGGGACATTCAAAAGCAAAAAATGAGTCCTCCGGTCCTGGAGGCCAGGACTCTGCATCACTGCCATACAGCACTCACGGGACCCGTCTGGTACTGATGGAGTGGTGACTGCCAGGCTGGTGTCAAAGCCGTTTGGGGCCTGGCTGACAACCACCCGAACTGAGCTCCACTTGAATCCACCTGACAGCACACTGCCTCTCTCTCAGCTTCTGCTCCCTAGGAGCTCGGCCCCTCGGCCCAGTGCATTTTCTCATCACCCCCCCTCACCTCAGCCTCCACCATCTCCTGGGCTCAGGTCCACTTTGGGGCTTAATTCACCTCAGGGATCCACATCTCTGCCTTATTCGCCAATTTTTCAAGGACTCAACACTTTACGCCTCGGTTGCCTCTTAGAGCCTTTTAGCTCAGGGTTTTTTCTCAGGGTGTGCATTTCCCTCACAAGCTCCTGGGTCCACTGCCTTCCTCTGGAGACAGCCTCCCTCCATCCCCTGACCTCCATCTCTCTCTCTCTCTGGAACTCACCTTCCCTGCCTCCACTCTGCCTCCTCACTGCCTCCTAGCACTTTCTTGGCATCTGTCCTCTTGCTGTGGGGAGGGCAGGGATGCTAGACAGGGCAGGCCACCGGGGAGTCGTTGCCAAGCACCTGCGGGGTCTGCCTTAAGTCGCGTCTGCCTTCTCCAGCAAGCCTCTGGCTAGCACCTGAAGAGGAGCCAGAGTGGGCAGCACTGGACTTCGCAGTACAATAAAGCAGTCTGGACAGACTTTCTGCTACCCCAGCTTCAGTAAGTTCCTAAGCCAAAGTCTGCGAAGAGGCTCTAGGTCGCGTCTGGGCCTCAGCAAAAGGCAGAAGACGGGGCATAGCACAGCCTGAGCGCCAGCCGCCACTAAGGGACAGCAGACCCTGCCCCCACCCCCAACTCCACCCTAGTCTTGCTCCTTTCCTAGTTGACACCAACAAAAAGAATCTGTCCAAGGTCCCGGGTCACTTTTACCTTTTCTTACCTCCAAGGATTTTGATTGGGAATAACGCCAAATGCATTGAGAGCCCCCCCCCCCACACACACACACACAGTTAGGCATTGAGAAACACGTTTCTGCTGTCTACCATTCTTTCCAAATAGTTTATACCCGTGTGTGTGAGAGAGAGTGTGCACGTGCGTGTGCACTCATGGTGAAAAATCCCAAGAGGGCAAAGATGTGAAAACAAAGCCACTAAGTAGTTCCTTCTGACTGCAGCAGCTGGAGAAGGAAGGACACTGGGGCTTGGGCAGTGACCGGATCCCACTGTAACACTTCCCTGTCAAAACCCCCCCACCCCCCAGGTTCCTGGCTGGGTGCACGTGTCTCCTGGGAACTGGATGAGCTGGAGTGTCTCCTAGTCTTGACATGCTCGCTGCTTAGCTCATCTTAGGGTGCACGGTCTGGGGTCCCGTGCGTCACTGCCCATGCTCAGACCTGTTGAGCTCCGCAATGGAAAAGTGGAGGCTGCTAGTCCTTCCTGGGGCCCCCTGAGACCCCTGGCTGCACCCTGCACACCTTTCTGAGAAGGACGTTTCCTGAAGCAGTGTCTCGTCCTCTCACATTAACAGTAAACACAACACACAAACTCCAACGCAGCCCAGTGCTGGGGAGGCAGAGGTAAGCTCGTCCCGAAGTTCTGGGGCAGCCTAGAACAGCAAGTTCCAGGCCAGCCAGGGCTACACAGTGAGATCCTATGCGCACACACAAAAAAAGCCAGCAAGTCCCCCAATAGGTGTGACTGTCCAATTTTTAAGCCTGTGACCCTCCTAGTTTCCTTTTTGGAGAACCATGAGTCCCAGTGGGGAATTCTTATTCCTCCCCCATGCCCCTGCAAACGCCTGGCTCTTTGGGTCCTTCACGGAGGCATTCTCCAGTCTTGAAGCCCAGAAGACACTTCTCAGCCCCCTGAACCCTTCTGCCCCGAGAGCCACTTCTTGGCCTTGCAGGCACACTGGTTTCGGGGGTTCGCTCTCGCAGACTCCTTTGTTCTGTTGCTCAGCAACTTGGAGCTATGCCTCAGACTCTTGAAACTGCGCGCTGACCACATTGGCAGTCGGCCACCTCAGGAGACAAAACCTTTTGGCTCTCGTTCTGACTGGCTCTCCGCCATGTTGGAATCATACCCACCCTCGCCCGGACCCGGTTGTTTGCTTCCTGACTCTCTCTCATTTCACCCAGTATCACTGCTATGCAGGTTCCAGCTCTGCCCAGCTTCCCCTACCGGTGCCTGGTCCCTGCTGTCATGGCCCCGCTGGGGCCAGCAGGTTTAGACAGCTCCCCTAGCCAGGTGGTGTGGAAACACTTGAGTGCCTACACAAGTCTGGTCTGAACTCACACCAAGCGCCCCCACGAGATCTTCAGGGTGTCTTCCTGCCCTTTTTATCAAGAACCCGAGACAAACCAGGAGTGTCACTGTGTGGTTGGAGCGCAGGTGGCAGTCACCGACAAAAGGGTAGCGAGAGCCTCGGGCCCAGAGAAGTGCCGCACACTTCCCCTTTCTTTGTGGCTCGGGTCTCAAGCAGTCATTGGTAACCTGCGCACGGGTGGGGAATGGGTCCACAGTCCTTGTCCCAGAGGGCTAGCCTGAGTGGGCAGAGGCCTCTGAGAGAGCAGACATGGCCCTTCCTTCAACTGTGTGCTGAGCACAGGATTCGGATATGGAGCACTCCGGAAGACTGTTTGGGACCCAGGAAGGGAGCCCTCGGAGGGTAGTGGGCGAGAAGATGGCTTAGCTGGGCTGGCAAAAATATGACTTTATTGGAAGAAGTTGTTGGGGGTGGAGTGGAAACCGCCATCTACTCCCCCTTAGGGGAGAGTGGCTCAGAGAACCCTCCCGGAACTCGAATGCATATGGACAAAGGAGGGAGATGCGCTGGGGGCTGGGGAACAGCGCCAGGTTGCCGCGAGGAGGCGGCGGGTGGGCGGCTCACGCACGCGGTCCGGGGAGCAGGGGCAGGCGGCCCAGCGCCGAGCGGCACACGGTCCCATAGGCCTGGGAGTAGCCGCCAAGCGCAGCTCTGGCTGCGCCCTGGGCCCCCTGCGAGGCCGAGGTGCCAAACATCCTTCGGCCGGGTCGGGGTTCCGGGGCCTCCCGGGGCAGGCGGGAAGGGACCTGCACGCAGGCGAGGGTCTTGTTCAGGAGGGAGGGGAGTGGAGCAGGGCTCTGGGGGGTACGAACCGCACTGGAGGGAGCTGGGAAGGGCCGGGCTCACCCGTCGCGCGCCGGCCGCCCTCGGCCCACCGCCCCGGGCCGGGTCACTGCGGATCAGGGCCTGATTGGCCGCCTGAGCCGCGGCCTGTGAAGTCAGGGAGGGCGCCACCACCCTGAGGTTTGTCTTCACCTGGAAGGGGTGCGCCACGGGGTCACGGAAAGGTACTGCAAGAGGCTCTTCCGTGCCCACCCAAGCTCGACTTACCCCTGAGGGTGCCGAGGGTGGCTCCGCTGTGGCCCCTGGTGGCCTTTCCCCCCTGCTTGGGGGCGGAAGTTGGAAGAGGGGGTCTGAGCTCTGCCTGGGAACTTCTGTGGGGTCATAAGAGCAACCCCCGGAGTTAGGTCCCCGCCGCGCACGTTGGTGGCCTTACAGAGAAGGGGCCAGGGGTGCGTGGGAGACAGGCAAAGCTCACCCACGTGCTCAGGGTTATGACCAGGGCTACTCTGAGGTCTGGGTCCCCGTTTCCGCGCAGGCGTCTCCGCGGGGACCTGGGGGAGGACTCCGGGCTTGACCCGGGCGGGGGACACCCTGAGCTCTGCCCGCGAGGCCGCACCCCCCAGGCCTTCCTCTCCGGGGCTGCGGCTGTTCCCCCTCCGCTCCAGGATCATCTGCGGGATTGGAGGGGCGCTCAGAGGGGGCCGGACGGCACTGAGGTCGCTGCGATAAGAGGCTTCGAGGGTGCCGGTGGAGAGCGGACAATGGGAGTCCCGGCACCTGGTACAGGCGGTTGCGATACTCCGGTGCAGAGAGCTGGTCCCCTTCGTGCACCGGGAGCCGCACGTCGGATCCCCGCGTCCACTCGCGGTCCGGGCAATGGAATCTGCGGGGCCAGGAAGACGGATGCAGGAGTGACGGGACACAAGTTGCAGAAGAGCAAGCCACTCGGGCTCCCACCCCTGCCCTTCACTCCGAGTCTCACCTCTGCACGTAGGGGTGTTGCAGCGCCTGCTCAGCGCTAAGCCTCTTGTCCGGAGCAAACGCCAAGAGTCGCTTGAGGAGGTCCAGGGCTTCTGGGGGGGTGTCTGGCGGCAGGAGGGCGTCCAGCGTCTGCCGTGGCCTGCGGGCAGCCGCCTGTCGTCTCCTCGCTAGGGCCCCACCCGTGGCACCTTCTGTCTGTGGCCTGACCTCTGCTTGTGTAAACCCCACTCTTCGCGTCCCCTTCCCGAGGCGGTCACCTCTCCATTCCCTCAGTCCCACCCCCCCCCCTTTTCTAAGGCTGGGTGGTCTCATTTCTGGGGGATGGGTCTTGTTTTTCTTTTCTCTTTTTCTTGCCAGTCTCCTGTATTCCCCTCCCCGCCGCCCCGCGGCCCCCCCCCCCGTAACTAAGCTTTAAGAGCATGGGGCTGAGCTCGCAGCTCTGCACCGCTACAAGCTGGCTCCTGTGCCAGCTTGCAAGATGGCGGCCCCCTCCCGCGACCTGCCACCCCTCCCCCACACCTAAGGGATCCACTCACTTGGACCCAAGGTTCTGCAGAATCAGGGCACTGTAGTCTGAGCCAAGGGCCTGGAGCTCTGCGAGTGGGTGGAAGACAAGAGGTATGAAGCAGGCAGGCTGGGCAGGGCTGGGGGAGGGAGGCAGCCAACCCTTCTGGCCACATGGATAATAAAGAGCCTCTCACAGAGTCGGTGGTCTAGAAGGGCTCAAACCCCTAAAAGCCAGCCAGCCACCTGGTCCAGGTGAGTGCCCAGAGCTGTGCCTTACCTGGAAAGCACACACTCTGAGCATGCTCACATAGAGGATGCTGGGGTCACACCAACCCAAAAGGCAGGAACTTGCTGGGGGGGACAGCGGCACCCTGCGGGGGGCGTTCAAAGGTGTCTCCCTCCTGCCATGTCCCTCTCCACAACGGCTGATCTCAGCCAGCAGCGCGGACGGACACTTCACTCTTGTTCAGCCCCTTCCTGTCCGTGTTTGGCTTGCACAGTCCCTGTGGCCAAGTCTGTCTCTGCACCAGCCCCAGCAGCTGCTCCTGGGCCCTCCCTCCACAGGGCCCTTTCCAGTTTCCCTGGGTCAAGTAAACTCTCTCCTGTGCACGGTACTGGGGAGATGTGGTACAGCGTCTCCACAGCTGTGCCCTCTGACTCTCATCATCCTGTGCCTAGGGGACAGGCTGCCGAGGCTGGGACCTCACTGTGTGCAGGCTCACCCTCCGTGGAGGGCAACGGAATGGTCTCCAGGATCAGCTCCAGCTGGTGGAAAGTCGATGTGCCGGGAAACAGGGGCTGCCCCCGAAGCATCTCTCCTAATATGCAGCCCAGGCTCCACATGTCCACCCCAGGGGTGTACCTGGAGCAGGAAGGGGGATGTGCAAGGGCAGGGAGCAGAGGCGGAGGCAGAACGGGAGTGCAGGGACCAGGTGGTGAGTATTCAGGTGGGCCAAGGCAGGACCAGGATACAGGGTACCCTATGGGACCTGAAGGGAGGAGGGAGATTGGGTCTCCAGCTGTTACCATCGGGAGGACAGAAGAACCTCTGGAGCTCGGTACCAGCGTGTGGCCACATACTCTGTCAGGGCCTGGCCCTCAGGCCCCTCCGGG